TTTCGAGAATCTATGACGGGAAAGATTTCGCCTTAAAGTCACTACTTAAGTTCTTCGTAACTCAGTCGATCTAGTGCACATCGGATCGAACAACGGTTCCTTCTGTACAAGTTCGAATCCGGCCGGAGAGCGCTTATTTTTCTTCAAAAAGATTTCTCGAATATTCAAGCCGGTAGACAAAAATAAATAAATATACTGTTTAATAAATAAACGGGGCGCCCATTTAAGTACGGATATCCACGAAAAATAACGTCTAAAGTGATAAACATCTGTCGGATTAATAAATAAAAAAATCATTACTTCTTTTAAAAAATACATGGTGTGATAAAGATTACACATTGTGAAAAAGGCCAAATGCAATATCTAACTAAATGATATCTCGGATAGGATTTAGTGAAGTAAATGCAAGATTTATTGATTTCTTTTTTACGGCTTATCAGCCTTTTGCAGATCCCGAGAGGATGACAATAAGAAGGACGAAGAGCATTTCCCAGGCACTCCCAATTATTTATGAGAATTTAATCCGATACCAAGAGAGGGAGAGAGATCGAGAAAAGAATTAGTAAGACACTAAGACTACAAAAAAGGACTCTTAGTGTAACTGATTTGTTTTTTACGGCTTGCCAGCCTATTTTCATGAACCGAGAGGATTATGATGAAAAGAAGGACGAAAAGATTCCCACAGGGACTCCCAATTATTTATGAGAATTTAATCTGATAGAAAAGAGAGAAGAAAATAATTAGTAAATACAGAGAACAAGAAAAGGAAAGATTGATTTTTTTTATGTATCTGTCTATATTTCTGAGATGAGAAAATATTACATTATTCGGACTATTGTCCCTTATTTGTCGCCATATTTATCACATTTCGGCCCTTCAGTATCTGTCTATATTTCTGAGATGAGGTATTATGTACAATTTACATTAAAGTCCTCACTTTTATCGCCATATTTATTACAACGTTTCGGCCTTTAAGTATCTGTCTATATTTCTGAGATGAGGTGATTTTATATTATTCGAATATTGTCCTCATCTTTTGTCGCCATATTTTATTACAACTTTTCGGCCTTTCAGTATCTGTCTATATTTCTGAGATGAGGTATTATGTACATTATTTACATTATTCGGAATATTGTCCTCTTCTTGGTCACCATATTTATTACAACGTTTCGGCCCTTCAGTATCTGCCTATATTTCTGTCATGAGGTATTATCTACACTATTTACATTATTCGGAATATTCTCCTCATCTTTGTCGCCATATTTATTACAACGTTTCGGACCTTCAGTATCTGCCTATATTTCTGTCATGAGGTATTATCTACACTATTTACATTATTCGGAATATTCTCCTCATCTTTGTCGCCATATTTATTACGTTTCGGACCTTCAGTATCTCTCTATATTTCTGAGATGAGGTATTATGTATACTATTTACATTATTCGGACTATTGTCCTCATCTTTGTCGCCATATTTATTACAACGTTTCGGCCGTTGTACGCTCCGGCCTTCTTCAGGTGGTTGGAATGTCGAACAGAACCCTTTATTTCGCTCACTGGAGTAGACTGTTCTAGTTCCACGTGCCATGTCTAATGATTGTCTGTTATTATTTTTCTCCTGTTAACTTTCCTCTGAAAGTTTTCCACTGCCTTAACCGGGCATTGGATTCACACGCTTTGGATCATGTCACTGGATTTAACCAACGCCTTTATCCACTGTACCATCTGTCCTTGAGGACACATCGCAATGGAGAGAGAGAGAGAGTAACAACACACTCCCATTCCTGGATGATCTAATATCTCGAACAGAGCATGGGTTTAAGACATCCGTATACCGTAAACCGACATTCACCGGACAGTACCTCAATTTCAACTCCCACCATCCATACAGCATAAAGAAAGGGATCGTCCGCTGCTTACAACACCGAGCAAAAGTCATAAGTGACGACCCAGAGACATTAGATAAAGAATTGTTCAGTATATGTAGTACCCTACAACGTAATAACTACCCAACAAACTGGGATAGGCGAGTACAAGAGGAGGACAACAACACTTAGAAAACAGTTTGCCTGCCTTATGTGAAAGATTTATCAGAGAAAATACAAAGGATCTGCGGTCCATATAACATCAGGACAACCTTCAAATGTTTGACGACACTTCGGAGATATCTCTCCCGAGTAAGAACCCCTCCTATAGAGGAGAACATGACTAAAGACTGTGTGTACGCTATCCCGTGCAACTGCTGAAAGAAATATAAAGGGGAGACAAGCCGCCCCTTAAGGTGAGGACAATAGTCCGAATAATGTAAATAGTGTACATAATACCTCATCTCAGAAATATAGACAGATACTGAAAGGCCGAAACGTTGTAATAAATATGGCGATAAAGATGAGGACAATAGTCCGAATAATGTAAATAGTGTACATAATACCTCATCTCAGAAATATAGACAGAAACTGAAAGGCCGAAACGTTGTAATAAATATGGCGATAAAGATGAGGACAATAGTCCGAATAATGTAAATAGTGTACATAATACCTCATCTCAGAAATATAGACAGAAACTGAAAGGCCGAAACGTTGTAATAAATATGGCGATAAAGATGAGGACAATAGTCCGAATAATGTAAATAGTGTACATAATACCTCATCTCAGAAATATAGACAGGTACTGAAAGGCCGAAAAGTTGTAATAAATATGGCGATAAAGATGAGGACAATAGTCCGAATAATGTAAATAGTGTACATAATACCTAATCTCAAAATATAGACAGGTACTGAAAGGCCGAAAAGTTGTAATAAATATGGCGATAAAGATGAGGACAATAGTCCGAATAATGTAAATAGTGTACATAATACCTCATCTCAGAAATATAGATAGATACTGAAAGGCCGAAACGTTGTAATAAATATGGCGATAAAGATGAGGACAATAGTCCGAATAATGTAAATAGTTTACATAATACCTCATCTCAGAAATATAGACAGGTACTGAAAGGCCGAAACGTTGTAATAAATATGGCGATAAAGATGAGGACAATAGTCCGAATAATGTAAATAGTGTACATAATACCTCATCTCAGAAATATAGACAGATACTGAAAGGCCGAAACGTTGTAATAAATATGGCGACAAAGATGAGGACAATAGTCCGAATAATGTAAATAGTGTACATAATACCTCATCTCAGAAATATAGACAGATACTGAAAGGCCGAGACGTTGTAATAAATATGGCGATAAAGATGAGGACAATAGTCCGAATAATGTAAATAGTGTACATAATACCTCATCTCAGAAATATAGACAGGTACTGAAAGGCCGAAAAGTTGTAATAAATATGGCGATAAAGATGAGGACAATAGTCCGAATAATGTAAATAGTGTACATAATACCTCATCTCAGAAATATAGATAGATACTGAAAGGCCGAAACGTTGTAATAAATATGGTGATAAAGATGAGGACAATAGTCCGAATAATGTAAATAGTGTACATCATACCTCATCTCAGAAATATAGACAGGTACTGAAAGGCCGAAAAGTTGTAATAAATATGGCGATAAAGATGAGGACAATAGTCCGAATAATGTAAATAGTGTACATAATACCTCATCTCAGAAATACAGATAGATACTGAAAGGCCGAAACGTTGTAATAAATATGGCGATAAAGATGAGGACAATAGTCCGAATAATGTAAATAGTTTACATAATACCTCATCTCAGAAATATAGACAGATACTGAAAGGCCGAAACGTTGTAATAAATATGGCGATAAAGATGAGGACAATAGTCCGAATAATGTAAATAGTGTACATAATACTTCATCTCAGAAATATAGACAGATACTGAAAGGCCGAAACGTTGTAATAAATATGGCGACAAAGATGAGGACAATAGTCCGAATAATGTAAATAGTGTACATAATACCTCATCTCAGAAATATAGACAGATACTGTTCTGATGACCTTTCTTCTTTTATAGTAATTTTTTTTCCTTTTTGGGAGTCTTTTTTTGAACGTAAAGATGGTTTTTTCATTGATTGTGTTTTTCGCAAACCTACGTTTATAAATCTGCACACTAACTGGAATTCTTTTGTTCTTAAGTCCCGTAAAATTAACCTGAAATCTACCTTAGTCCATCGTGCGTTGATGATTTGCTTTCCTTGTGCCCTTAATCAGGAACTTGAGAAAATCCATTGTATTTTTATTGAAAATGGTTTTCCAGCTAATGTCATCAAATGTATTCATGAACATAAGATCAAACCTTTCAAAGAACTGGTAGTTTTTTTTTCTCCTCTCTTTGTCCCATTTATTTGAAACTACCGTGTGGAAAAGCCAAATACAAATGATGTTTTACATTTGAGACCCGTTCGGTGTTCCCCTCTTTCGTCAAAGACTGTCTGTCCCACTTTCAAAATAGTTCTATTGCGTATAAGTTTAAATGTCTGTGTGATGCTGAATTCATGAGACGGACCTATCAGAGACGAGAGACCCGGATTGGTCAACATTCCTTCTACTATAAGATCAGGTAATCTCTGTCACCCTTCCTGGACCACCGATGACTCAACAATAGATCAGCACCCGTTAGACAACCCTGACTGTGCTGATCATTATGCTATTGGTCATCATTTCAGGAAGTAGACTGACATGCTGTTATCGTGAGAAGACGTGTCACCTCTCCAAGTCTAGGAATAATCTGTCTAGGGAAAACTGTCTTCGTAAAACTAGCCGTCAAGTGACGAGATGTCCTTATTTCTGCTATAGAAGACCAAGAGAGAATAGGTTCTACCACTGACTCTGGATACATATCTTGTGCATTTTTTTTTGCGACCAGAAGCAATGCTAGAGTATTGGGACATCTTTGCATTTCACTTCTTTCTGGATTTCTTTAGTGTCAAGTTATTTCTGGCAACCCAGAAGTATGAAGGGGTGGGGTTGGTCGAAGACATACTTTAGAAGGCGCAGATGGTCCTTACTGATTCCACGATATCACGTCACAGAATGTTCCAGAGGTGAGTCTCTTCAGTAGGACGCGGGGAAAAGTTAGAAGCTATGGTAGCAAACGAAAAAAAGGAAGCTGGAGACAGAAAAGGAAGGGTCAATGAAGGTTGATTGCTTTCCCCACTACCCAGTCATACCACAAAATGACATTAACAAAAACATCACCTAGAAAAAAAAAATAACACCAGCAAAACAATATAAGAACCCGAGGAGAAAGCTTTCCTGACCACTACATCCCTTATGATCACCGAAGTTAAGCAACGTCGAATTTGGTCAGTATCTAGATGGGTGACCGCTTGGAATACCAGGTGCTGTAAATTTGGACGTGCAGGTGGTGTAATGGATAATGTCGTGGTCCAATTCCAATTAGGTTCGTTATATATATACAGTGTAACCCGGATATAAGAGACCCGGATATAAGAGAAACCCGATATAAGAGAAACCCGGATATAAGAGAGATTTTCTCTGGTCCCAAATTAGAGCCTGTGTTAATGTATATAAAATAGACCAAACCCAGATATAAGAGACTTCTTCTCCGGTCCCGACAACTCTCTTATATCCGGGTTACACTGTATATATATTTTTAAGCATTACGCCCCGGGCAAGGCGTGAAGCCACTAGGATGCAGGGGGTTGCAGAAGATTTGGAGCGAGAGCAGATAGGAGTGATAGAGGAAAGGATGAGGAGAATGATAGTGGGTAGATCAAGGTAACTGGAGATGTCGATTGACATTACATTTGAATAGTTGGAGATTATAGCTCTCAGGGAAACAGTAATTGGGAAGGGTGTTCCACAGGCGAGAGGTGCGAGATATGAAGCTATTGGAGTAGAAGAGACGGCTACATTTAAAAGTTTCTACAGTGTTTACGCACAAATACCCTTGGGATAAGTATGAATGGACGCCTTCTCCCCTCCAGATATGGGTTAATTAGTAAGACGGGTATCAGTAAATCATTATCACTTCCCTCCAAAAAAATTTCTTACAATTTAAAAATATTTTCTCGCTTTAAATAACCTGTAAAAGGGGTTGACAATCAGTTAAAAGTAAATGAAGATATCAATCGATCTTAGGTTTAAATTGTTGTCTCTTTCATATATCCATATATAAACTGCACCCTCTTACATTTACCACTCATACAATAACCGCTTTCAGTAGGACACTAGCTTGAGTGACCCTTGCGCCTTGTATAGTGTGAACGAAAAAAGAATATAATTTCGTTCTCACCTATTGCTGTTACACAATCTCCACTTCCTCCTACCAAGTCTTATCCTACCCAACCTTCTACTTCCCTTCGTTTTCCACTAACAACAACAACAACATCAAAAAGACAGCAAAGCTCCTCCATTAAAACCCCTGGGGAGGGGGAAAGCACAATAAACAAAGGAGGAACATGAGAAAAAGTATAAAGCGTGGGAAGACTTTTGAGTGTCGATCTGGACGTTCGAGAAAAAGAAAAAAAGGTGCAGCTACAGAAACTAAATGAGTTGAGGGTTCGCCAAACGAAACGGAAAAAGCCGATGAAATATTCTTGTTTGGTGTTTATCAGCACTATTCTTCTAAAAGGTGGGCGCTGAAAATTATCGCAAGGGCAAAATATTTTATTAAAGCGCAAAATACTGACATATTAAAAACAATTTATAAAAAAGAAAACAATGCATAATAAAAATTAAAAAAAAAACAGAAAAAATAAACAGGGTGCGATGAGTAAATTGTCGCCATTTTATATTTTTAATTTCGCGCATGCGTTTTGCTTGTTTTTGATTTTGTTGAGTGCACAGTATAGTAGGGTCAGTTGGGCATCATCTGTAAGAAAAAGAACACAATGACGTAATTCATTCCGCCAGAAATTTGGAAAAGGCATGCTGTACTGCTTGGCATTCCCGCTGGAAGCTCCAGTCCAAACATTTTATAGTGTTCAGATGTCAATCTGTGGACAGTGCAGGGATTCGGAAAGTGTCCGAGCAATCTAATGGTGATTACGAAGGTACAACAGATCAGAAACTCACTCTGATTGTTCTAATAAATGAAGAACTCCCTAATTTTTTTGGTGAGGGCCTCAGACTCAACACAGAGGCCTACATCGTGCCTCGAGGAGGTATAGTGCTTCCCTGAGTCAAGAGGGTGGCTGCTTGAAAACCTTATGTCAGGCAACAGGACTCTGCACCACGGCATGTAAGCAGGAGAACACAGTTAAGGCTGTCAGACAATTTCTGCGACTACAACACGCCTTATATATGGCCACCTTATTCCCCAAACTGCAGCCCCTTTGATTATCATGTGTGGAGCACAGTTAAGCGAGAGACTAATAAAACTTTTTGTTGCACCAAAGATGAATTGAAGGCAAGGATTATGGCAGTATTCACCAACTTACAACAAGGAAACTGTCGAAAAGAGTTGCAGGAGATTCCGAAGTCGTCTGGAGGGCGTGGTTGAAACCAATCGTAAATTTATTGAATACATTTACTCTTCAGTATTTCGAGATATTTTTCGTATAATTTTGGTAAATATACCTGTTAAAATGAAATGTCAGTAAATTTTTCATCATCGCGTAATTTAGACAACGAATTTATCCCTCGTACCCTGTCTGTATAACATTGGTATTATGAAGATGGTTTCAGATGAGATTGAAAGTACTTTGGAAAATAAAGAACGATGCGAAAGAACATTTTGGTATTTTTCTTACCCAAATTTCTAAATCTACCAAAAAATTGATCCACTATCTTGAAAAAATCACAAGGAAAACAAATTGGCATTATATGTCTAAATTATTTAACCAAAGCGGTTTGAATGAAAATATGTTGCCTAAATATACACAATTTAAACATTGGTGTTCTATCTATCTATCTATCTATCTATCTATCTATCTATCTATCTCTCTCTCTCTCTATATATATATATATATATATATGTGTGTGTGTGTGTGTGTGTGTGTGTGTGTGTGTGTGTGTGTGTGTGTGTGTGTGTGTGCATATATAGAAAATAGGAAAGAACTCGTTAGGTAAATAATCCAAAGTTCTTGAGTATTTTTGTTATTATTTTTTAAAAAATAGTGCTCGATACAAAAGTAGAGCATAAATATAATTATTTATTTAAAAATATGATTCCAACACGCTAGATAAGATTTCTCATGTCTCAATACAAGAGCCGAAAATTGAAGTTTTCGGCTCTTGTTTTGAAACATGAGAACTCTTATGTAGTGTTGAGTCATATTTTTAAATAAATAATTATATATATATATATATATATATATATATATATATATATATATATATATATCTTCTATCACTCCTATCTGATCTTGCTATTTCCTGTAACCCCTTGCATCCTAGTGGCTTCCCGCCTTGCTTGGGTGAAACGCTTATATATATATATATATATATATATATATATATATATATATATATATATATATATATATATATATATATATATATATATATATATATAATGTAATCATATATATATTGTATTCATCTGTTTCATGCTAGATGCAATAGTCAGGCCATCTATCTATTTCTCTCTCTCTCTCTCTCTCTCTCTCTCTCTCTGTATATATATATATATATATATATATATATATATAGAGAGAGAGAGAGAGAGATTGCATCTGATTTGCATCTAGCATGAAAACAGACTATCGCCTACTAATATTGATATATATATATATATATATATATATATAATTATTAAAATTTTTATAAAACATTTCGAAATAAAATTCTCATGTTAAAACAAAGAGCCAAACACCTCAATATAATTATTTTAATCCTTTCAAAACGATAATTTAGGAATAACTAATCTTGAAATTTACGCATCTTTATAAGCATGTTCTATTACTATGGAAATGGCTGGGGCGACCGTTTTGATAAGGGGCCTAAGAGTTAATTTTTATCCACGTCTCAGTCACCTTTGGAATGAGGTCAATCCGAGGTAGGGTGGGGGTATTCATTTCAAAGCGAATGATGACATTCATGTGCGCACATCGTCTGGTCAGTCACAGCAAAAGATAGCTTTTGGCACCATAATATGTCGTTAAGTGTCTAGAGAATTTTGTTTTATTTTATTTATATCTTTTTATTTCTAAAGGGCCTTTTTCGTACTTAAACACGTTGCACTGAATTACAATTTGTTTTATTGACGACTTCATAAAGGGTGTTTCTATCTTCTGATTGGATTAAGCTTTTAAACCTTTTAATAGACTATGAAATTTTTTTATGCTAATTATTTAATGCGAAAATTTGTTGATGTCGGCAGAAAACCGTTCACTCATGTCTATGGTTTAATAAATTTTCACTATTTAGATACTTAACGTACTTCTGTATGGAGCACTGTTTTTTAAAAATAAAAACAAAAATACTAAAGAACTCCGGATTATTTACCTAACGTGTTTTTTCCTATTTTTCTACATATCTGCATATATATATATATATATATATATATATATATATATATAATTGGTGCGCAGTGGTGCAATGTTGCATATGGTATATGCAACACATATCAATGTCAATCGTCAGCTTGTCTCTGAAACCTGTTCTTTTATTGTCCTCTCTATTTTTTTTACTTTCAGTAACTGGTGACTCATTGCGCTTTCTCCGGCTCATGTTCTCAGCTGACATGAAATAGAAAGACTATATCAAATCCATTGTTAAGTCAGCTGCTAAGAAAATCTATATTTGACACTATATTTTATAATCTCTCTTCTCTCTCTCTCTCTCTCTCTCTCTCTCTCTCTCTATATATATATATATATATATATATATATATATATAGTGTTTGAAAAACAAAAGCAAAACGTGCTCATAAAATGTATTGTATTGATTATACAATCATTTATATAATTAATAGCAATACTTACTTTTGCAGCCCCCTCTCTTTCTCTCTCTCTCTCTCTCTCACACACACACACACACACACACACACACACATATATATATATATATATATATATATATATATATATATATATATATATATTGTTACGAATTCGCAACGTATAAATGTATGAATCCCAGCTTAAAAAAAGAAAAAAAGGTTGGTTCGTACATGACGGACAACAAACACCAGATTAACATTTATAAATAAATTTTATATAAAAAATACAAAATAAAACATATGGGAAAAGTATGAAATGACAGATGTACAATTAATAAAACAAAACTTAACTGATATTGGATGTCAGTTCAAATGTTTCTGTTTCAGGAATTTGGAGTTCGTAATGATAAACACACAATGTTGCTGTAGAATAGTCACAAATTTTGATTGGTCTTCCTTCTGCAATGTGAAATATAGAATTCCGGAACAATATTTGTGTTCCATTTCCATTTGGTTACTTGGATAGTCTCCAAGATGAAAGAAAGATGTTATTACATCCAAGATCTCCAGAATTAATTTTCCTTATTATTTACGCAACAATAGAATAGGTTTGTAAGTATATTTCTCATCCCTCACGATCACATGATGAGAGTCTATTTTTCTCGTAAACTGCTGTCGTCGGAGGTCATCGGCAAACTAAAATTACAATAGGAAAATCACAGTCATGTATGTCGCGTGAGCGTAGGTGACCGATTCTTTTAGGAGGTCATTCTGTTTGTTGTCAAGCGATCTCAACTTCCTTTCCTGCCATTTCTTCTTTGCTGTCAAGCGACCCCAAACTCTTTTCCAACCCTCTCTGAGCCAAAATGCGACTCAAGTAAATAAACAAAAGAAGAAGCAGTAGAAGAAGAAACACAAAGACAACGTATCTCTTATTAAATTTATTGTATATCTGATTTAATAGTTAACATTGAGGGCCATGTCACAATATATATGAAGGAAGAATAGTATCATCTGAATAAAACGTATTTATTCATAAGTGTTATGGGACCTACCTTTATGGACTAAATGGACTCGTCCTATTACTATATTATGGCTCTCAAGAGAGCAGTCTACAAATTGAATACGGTTGACTACGTGTACGACCTCTGTCGAACTCTCTGCCAAAGGGCAAAGTTTCGTCCGGGGAGGTAGACAGGCCCTGAACTCGTCTAGGCGGGTTCAAAGGGTATATTTTTTGGCCGAGCCTACGGGCTCGGAGAAACCAACATTAAACTCGGCCTTGTGCCACATATATTCCTCGTGAGGGATCATTAAAAATTGTTGACGAGCTGACTACTATACTTTGGCGTCAGTCGGACTTGCAACCCTTTTGTATTCGTTCTTTTTGTTTTCACTAAATTGCTGAGTTCGAGTTTTCTTTCGGACCTATTCTGGGATCACAACAATAAGAAACAGCGTTCATCTTTTATAAAAGCTTAACAATTTACCATTTTACACTTCTTTTGAAAACCTAATCGTATATCATATATTCATTCCCAATCACAAGATGTTTTTGCTCGTTTCCCAATAGTGAAAGGTAAAGAATCTTTTTGTCCAGATGTAACTAACGCAATAAATAAATGGCCATAAACGATAGCGCGGATACCATCGGTTTTCTGGAGTTTGAAGGAGAAAATCCAACTTTCCAACCTGGCCTGGTTTGTGATCTGTCCACATGCGGCCCATCGGCGCGTAGATACAGAACTTTGATTCCAGAAAGGAGAAAAGGGCGACATATTTTGATCGAAAGCAAAGCAGACAGATACCCTGATCACAGGTAGAAGCACCGAAGATTCGTACGAAAATAATTCCGCCATTTTCACGGCAACAGGCTTGCGGCCATATCATGTTGAAACACCGATTGTCGTACGATCACCGAAGTTAAGCAACATCCGGCCTGGTCAATACTTAGATGGATGACCGCTTGAGAATACAAATAAAAAAAAGGCGTTAGATCCAGTGGGAGGACCCAAAGAGTGTGACTTCAATACCCGGTTAAGGCAGTGGAAAACGTTCAGAGGGAAATTAACAGGAGATAACTGATAACTGACCTCCATTAAACATGGCACGTAGAACTAGACCAGTCTACCCCAGTAAGCGAAATAAAGGGGTCTGTTCGACATTCCAACCATCTGAAGAAGGCTGGAGCGTACAAAGGCCAAAACGTTGGGATAAATATGGCGACAAAGAAGAGGGTAATAGTCCGAATAATGTAAATAGCGTACATAATACCTCATCTCAGAAATATAGACAGATACCGAAAGGCCGAAACGTTGTAATAAATATGACGACAAATATGAGGACAATAGCCCGAATAATGTAAATAGTGTACATAATACCTCATCTCAGAAATATACACAGATACTGAAGGGCGGAAACGTTGTAATAAATATGGCGACAAAGATGAGGGCAATAATCCGAATAATGTAAATAATGCAAATAAAAAAAGATTAAAAAGAAATAAATGAACAAATTCACGACAAAAACATATTTTTGTATTTTATGACTTCATGGGGAAGGACGGCTGGGAAAATTTAATACTCAGAGGATGTATTCAGGGAAAGAGAAATCGAGAGAAACAGTGAGTGTGAATTGATAGCAAAGCAGAGCGACAAACATTGTTAAAAAGAGAGGTTGTGGAAAGCCATAAACATCCATGTTCTGTAGACGCACTGCACATAGATAATGATAAATCGTAGATCCATCAATGTCTTCGATACTTAATTTAGAGGGTTGATTAGCAAACTAATCAGGAAGACTGTTAGCTTGTGAAACAAGTTACATTCAGACGGGTTATTCAGTATTGGGATCATGTGGTACACTGCGAAAAGCACAAAGCCTTCCTCGTGAATCAGATGGTTGGATATATTTCATGATGTCTGTCATTTGAGTCCTGACCTCCGCTTTACCGGTGGCAGAGAAAAAATTACATCATGCCCAGCCACCGATTGAACAGCGGTAGAAAAAAATGACTCAATGTTCAGCTACCGGTTGATGTCAGTTCTCTGGTGGATGCGGGTGTTTTTTCCGACTGTGTGTGTTTTTCGTTTTCTGTTGTCATGTTTGGATGAGTGCGTGTCTGTGTGAGTGTTAGGGATGAATGAATGAATGTTTTTTTTTTTTTATATTTTGTAGGCCTGCATTGATTTCGTCCAGTGAACTGATGTTTCTGCCACATTTAAGTATTGTGGGGTTTTTATTACTAACAATGATTTTGTTTAGTTTCTTGTAAATAGATTAATTCATATTGTATATACTCATTGGGGATCCTTTTAATTAGTTGTTTTATCCCGCCTCCCCCACATATGACGATTTGTACATATGGGGACTATATAGTATTTTCATTGAGACAATGAGGTATTATGGTGAATGTAGTAAGAAAGGCTAGTAAGAATATGTTGTTTTGGTGTTAGGAATATTATTTGTATGCTTGGGTCAGTGATTGTGGCTAGCTAAGTTTAAAATTAAGACAGATGAAGACCGTCCTTTTCCCCATCCACTTTTTTAGGCCTTGTGCCACATTTTTTGTAATTTTACAGAAATAAATATTGTAAACACTTGTAACTATTTTTATATCTACCGTGAAACATTAGATAACAATTATTTGCGAATTTTGACTGAGGAGCTCAGGCAGAAGGGTTCACATTGTACAGGACTCAAAGGTTTAAGACCTGGTTCAAACCGGCATTTCAAATACTGCTTATGTTTTATTTTTTTGCTTCACCACATTTTACACTGTGTCCTACTCAAGGAAGATTAGTTAATATCATATACTTATCTTTATAAAAGCCAGATCAAACCGAAAATGGAATACTGTTACCATATTTGGGCAGGACCTACCCAGTCCTCATTTTCCAGTTTTGAGAGAGTTCAAAGGCGTCTCCGCGTCGTTGTGCGAGAAGAATCATTTTCCACACCCCAACCTCTCTCTCACAGACAGTATGTGGCAAATCTCTCACTGTTCTATGGCTACTACCATGGAAAGTTTTCGAACGAAATACATCTAGTTCCGGCAGGTCTATCCTTCACGGCTAGGACCCGCCAGTCCACTTACATAGTAGCAAACCATTCACATTCCATTTGTATTCCATCGGCGAGAAGTAAGTTCCACTCAAACAGCTTCTTCCAGAACAGACTCCCAAGAGGATGTTTCTCCGATCGCTACAATCTTAACCTACTCAAGTCAACCGTTATCTTCCCCTCTTATTCATAAAAACTACCTCTTAACGTAACCCTCTATCTCGAATGGCCCACGTGTCTTGTACAGAGTGAACCTTACTGCAAAAAATATGCACAAGAATATGTAACAATAAGCGACCTTCTCTTTCTCACCCTCTTTGAGAGCGACGCTCATGGCGTCCGGTTTGATGTGTCGATTTTAAAGTCATGCAAGGCGCATGTAACGAAGGACGTTTTATGACAGCTGAAGTGAACGATTGCTCCAGAGAAATAGTTGCGTGGAATATCGTACTGATAACATAATAAATAAAATCCTTTGGCAGGATGTTTTTGCTTAAAGCCATGAGTAGGTAAGATGCAAACTTTCAGACTGGCTGTGAGACACACAGACAGACAGACAGACAAACAGGCGGGCATACAGACGGATGTTACTTGTTCGGGTTTGGACCGGGCAGCGGGAGACGTGTGGGCGGGAAACTGTCAAACATGTTTTGAAAAGTTGATAAACGAAGCCAGCAATTATTTTCTTTGAAAGAATAGAACTGCCGAAAAGTCTGTCCATGCTGAGAGAGGATTTGGAAAAAAATAAACAGAAATTCAAAACAACTTTGGGAATAAGTTCTAAAATCAAAAAGGTGCTATCGGCATATTTGGGCTTCCCAGACTAATATCCTCATCAGTCAAATATTCTCTGTAGTTTATTGGATCTTGAGTTGGCATCTCGATTTCAGTCACATGGCAATTGTTCTAATGAGTTTTCCTCCTTGGTGTAACGACGACATGAATTTAGCGTGATACTAGATTGGAAAACAGGATTCACAACTTTAATGTTGAACTAACTCGATGCAAACGTATATTCTATTCTAATAGTTTCTTTTCTCACACTTCTCGCCTGTGGAACTCCGAATTTCTTCAAAATTTTAAATGTAACGCCAATCGCCATCTTCTGTCAACCTGATTGCTGTTCTTTTATTGTCCTTTCTCCAACTAAAGTTTTCTCATTCACTCCCAGTAACTCATTACATCATTGTCATGCAATTATTAAAAAGAGAAGAAAAAGTTTTTCAATTATGTTACGTTTTTATACGTTTTGTTAAGAATAATTTGGTTTACGAAAAAATGCAATTATTTCAGTTGATTGCTTGTTTTGTTTAGCCGCATATAAACCTCTATTAGTTATTTACCGTATTTGACTGCATATAAGGTGCACTTTTTTAACTAAAATGTATTTTTTAAAATTCACTTCCGTCTTATATGCCATATGTAGTTTTAAAATTCGCAATAGTCGGCCGAAATTAGCTACCTAGGAACTCCTATTAGCTTAGATTTTAGAGTAACTTTTATATACCTATTGTCATTATTTAAAAAGCTATTATGCAGATTAAAATTGTTATCATTGATAATATTCATTATATTAATTTCATCACATTTAATATTCGTACTTTGTTTCACTAAAATTATATGCAATAAATTCAAATTATATATTTGTAAAATATATTTGTTTCATTAATATTTTTCTTGCAATAACTTCCGGTTGCATTGATATAAATAGAATCAGAACTTTTATATCCTAATTATTCCACTAAGACGTTTACAAGACGCAGGTTTTACAGATCATATAAAGGATAAAATAAAGTTTTTATAGGCTTATGTTCTTTTTTTTCCTATTATTTTACGTTTTATTGTGATCATGGCTAGTTTAACCAAAATAATGCCTCATAAATATAGCCTAGGCTGTACCATTTACTAATAATTTTACTAATTACTAATTTTTCTTGATTTGCCCTGCTGAAATTGGGGTGCGTCTTATACACCCGTGTGTCTTATATGCCGTCAAATACGGTAATTCAGAAATCTAAATATTTTGAATACAACTTTATGGCTTCAAGTAAATATATTTTGAACGCAATTGTCTGCTTTCGACTACAGAAATGTATTTTTGGTCATTTTTCTTTAAATATGTATTGTTGGTAATTTTTCTATAAATATGGATTTTTGGTTGGTTGATTTTGTTTAGCGATATATCAACCTCTATAGGTTATTTAATGCCGAAATTTAAATATTTTGTAGATAATTGTTTACTTTCAGGCTAAAGGCAAGTTTTTTTTAAATGTATATTTTGTAGATCATAAAATCTACTGTTGCTCATTTTATAAAAAATATATACTGTTGATTTATTGGTTCAGTAAAATGTAGTTTGAACTTAATTGTATGCCTTCAGTTACAATATATTGATGGTCATTTTACTATAAAATGTATTGTTGGTTATCATACTATAAAAATTTATTGTTGGTCATTTTGCTATAAAATGTTTTGTTGGTCATTTTACTATAAAAATTTATTGTTGGTCATTTTGCTATAAAATGTTTTGTTGGTCATTTTGCTATAAAATATATTGTTGGTAATTATACTATAAATAGGTATTGTTGGTCATTTTCTATATAAAATGTATTGCTGGTATTTTTACTATAAAATGTATTTTAATACTTTCATAGTTTTTTGTTTTTGTTTGGGTATTCACTTATAGCTGGGACCCTAACAAGTGCTACAACCCAGGGTAACGGTGGACCTTGGAAGAACATAAATTATCAAAATTTCCAGTCCCCCGATCAGAGGCCTTGCTGCTGGATGTAGTTTATCGTCATACACAGGATTAATTATCCCAACTCCAAGAGGGAAATTAGCTTGATACGACACAAGAAGAAATGTCGACAGAAAGACTATTTTTCCGCCCGGGATCTTAATGATGAGGGA